GGTTTCTTCTTTCTTTTTCTTTTATTTCATTTTGCTGAACATTATGCGTGTATATTAATTTTTATTGTATTATTTTCTTTTGTAGGTCTTTCCGGGGCCCTGACAAATAGCAGCTTCTGTTTTTCTCTCTATCATTTTTCTCAACCAAGCCCGCCCCGAAAATCAACAACAAAACAAACCCAAAACAATATAACAACAAAAATTATAACAACAGCAAAAAAAAACAAAAAAAACTTCTTCCCCTGGTTTGAACATGGTTCAAGTTTTAGTAAAGCCCAAGGACTTTACAACAAATAATAATATAATAGTTACTAGATTCTATAACTCCTTCCCATTCACTTGCACGGCACCTGTGATTGTAAACTGTAATTAACCCTCTCTAGTGGAATGTCTATTTCTCATAGAGCCCAAAGGAAGTTTATAAGAACCATTTTCATTGGCTGTTTTCATTGAACTAACCAATGAGAACAGGTTACATCAAACAAGCCTTGGATATCATTTGTTTACAACATGGCGTCTACTCATGGCTATCCAAAGTGGCTTATTGGTTGTAAAGATGACATCACAAACTCAAAGGTATGAATTTGACTCGAAATTATTGAAGCAAAAACAAGTAACGGCACGATCAAATGCTTTTCTTGAATTTGCTGTAGTTCTGGAAATGAAAAGCCAATCTACGAATCAGTCAATTTTCTTCAACGTCAAGACTATGAGATCGTAGGCTAGGCCTCTACTTGTCGAAATCGAATAAAAGTAAAAGGTTACAGAAACTTTAGTCTTTAGCAAAGTCGGCTATACTATAATCTGGATTACACTTCGCTAGATGTGTGTGTGTGTGTGTGTGTGTGTGTGTGTGTGTGTGTGTGTGTGTGTGTGTGTGTGTGTGTGTGTGTGTGTGTGTGTTTGTGTGTAAATGAAAATGTTGTCCGCCCAGTTCATATGGGGTAATTCTAACAGCTTGACATTATTCTGTGCACAGCATCATTTTTGTCTAAAATGTCCATGCCTAAGAACCCAATCTAAAATTATAAGTCGGTCTAAGAACTTTGAGCTTAAGGAAAGACAATATTTATTTGTGTTGTTTTTACATATAAGGCCTAGATCTATACTGATTCTTGGAAAACAAATTAAATTATTTATATATATATATATAAAGTATAATAAACATGTGTGGGCCCCCATCAAAGCAGGCAAAAGCATACTGTAATGTTGCAAAGTTTTGTAAGAGTAAAAGCGCTGTAAGGGGTGCTTGTTTTTTTTGCTTTTTGGGGGTGGGGGATGAGGGGGTGGGACGGGGGTGTTAATTAAGGCAGAGTGGATAAGATACACTCACACACAAACATGCACATCTACAAAACACACACACACTCACACACACACACTCACACACACACACACACACACACACACATACACACACTACCACATTTTTTTTTCACATGGCAGTGCCATTTTATAAGCACAAATTGGCCCCTTGATGTAGACCTGATCAGAAGTAATGATGCAAGGCTTTTATTGTTATTATATTATTATGTCCAATGGTTTTTATGTGGGAGAAGGAAAGGGTTGGTGAGGATGGATGTTGGGCTGAGGCTTGGGGTAAAAACTTGTTCTATAATAAAATATGACCCTTTTGCAACATTGATGTAAGAGGAAAGATATTTTTAAGAAAGATTTGCTCTTTTGTCTTTGTTTAAAAAAATTAATATGTGTATATAGCATTGTCACAGTCTGTATTGAAACTATGAAATATGTGTATATAGCATTGTCACAGTCTGTATTGAAACTATGAAATATGTGTATATAGCATTGTCACAGTCTGTATTGAAACTATGAAATATGTTACAATGCAGAGTAAACAAAGGGAAAGAATGTCGGGACCAGCTTTTTTTAATAAGGTATTTGGTGATTTTTATGTTGTGAAAAAAAACCCCAAACCAAGTGATTGAACAAACTGAAAAACAGGGCTGGAACCTGCTTGCCAAATCTGAGAGTGGCGATTCATGATTCAGTCGACTTCAAAGAATCGCGAGTACGCGAGCGCTCGTGGAACTGTGGCAGAACGCTGACTGAAACGGAACATTGTCATATCAACGCCACTTGGCGAGCGCGAGTCCCACTCTTGTTGTTCCGTCATCCTCTCCGCCCCACACCCTTTGTTGCGCTGCTCTATCTACTGACCTCAATTAGCGACCCCCATAAATTCACCGCCCCCCAACCCCATGATTCGCTAAAACAGAACTGCGCCAGGTGATCGGAAAGGATAATTTTCAATGGCGCATTATTGCGCCAAGTGACTGCAAAGTGTTAAGTGAGCATGCATTTTACTCCAGCCCCTCTTTCCACCCTCGTAATTCCTTCTACCTCATCAAATTTTACCATCCATTATCAGTTACAGCTTATCATAGCTTCTTTAGGCTGCAACCCCCCCCCCCCCCCCAACTAGAACTATTTTATATTGAACTTCATAACACTGTAGGTCATGGACTGATCCGGCCTTGAAACAGGCCCCTTTGCATGCACAATGCATATTAAGCAGCATGCTTAGAAGAAATAAATGCCCTGAACTCAAATGGGCTCTTAGATTACTTCTGGTCAAATCATAGTTGTGCTTCTCTAAAATTGTTTTAGTTGAAGAAAGCTTCTTATTTCAAGACACTTATTTTGGACTCGGAGTAAAAAATGATAGTATCCTAGTATAATTTCGTCTGGCACGAAGCTTACTTTTGTTATAGCAATGATAAAGGAATAATCCGTTTTTCCTGTTTATTAACAAGCTGTAGCCTTCAATTGATTTTTACACAAATAGGTTTTATGTTTGTTGTTGTAACTGTAATTATAGTGGACTTAAACGCAACCACCCCCTTTAATAATATTATATTCCACAGGAATGGAATTCTTTTGTCAGTGAGTTACATGAGGCCATCCAGCAGCAGCTCACAGAGAGTCATGTCCAGTATTTTACAGATTTGTCAGAGCCAGAAAAAGAACTGTTCATGCAGAGGGCCACAAAAGCTCTTGAAGGAGGTTTGAAGTTTATGGTTTTTTATGGTTTATTATAGTGAGGCAGCGTGGTGGAATCAGGCTCTCGTCAAAATAATCAAAGTGAAGAAACTTGCATTTTTCCGCAGGTTTGTGAATTTTTATCAAATTTTTGTTTTTTGGCTCAACCCATTTCATACCCATTAAAGAACTCCTTTCTGCGTCGATTTTTCTTAAAAACGTTGATTAAAGGCACAAAAAAGTAAATTTTCATTTACAACAGACTCTTAAGCTAAGGAAATAACTAATCTTTGGCAGCCATTTTCTCACTAATTTTACCTCTGAAAACAGGTGACTCCCACCTCCTTCTTTCGCTAATATCTCGACTAGTATTCAAGATAAATGGATATTTTTTTCATTCAAATAAAGACAAGTGAACAAGCTTTAAGATGTTACCAATAACTCTACATGCCCAAAATTTGACGAGACGCCTAATTCCACCACGCTACCTCACATATGTTGTCTGCACAATTCTCAGTTTTATGGGAAAGCGTTAATTTTATGTTATATCTTTGATTTGCGATATCTATCATGTACAGGCTATAATTATCAATAGGCCTGTATAGGTATTGCAAAATTGTAATAATATTAATGCTGTCTATAAATATTAGTACAGATGCAAAATTTATTATTGTGGCACTCTGCAATTATGTATCATCTTTCGTTATATCCTATTATGTCAACTGCAGAGATGGGAGTCGACTATGATTTGATTGTGCCTGAGCAACAAGTGAAATGATGGTCTTCTATGTTCTTCTCTTTTATGTAGTATATCTAATTTATAATTAGTAGCTTTGTTTTCTTGCATTTTCTTATTCTTTCTGTTTGGAAACAGGCACAACGTCTCGGAATTTGTTTCTTAAAGTGTCTGGATTGATGGACCAACGCCTGAATGACCAGGTCAGCAAACAGTTACTGGATGACTACCCCACTGGTAAGATCTTTTTGTATGTTTAATTAATAGGCATATGTCTCATTTTTGTTTTAAATTTACTTCTTGACCTCTCCCGGCTGATTCATTTCTCTGTGATGGGGATTCGTTTTCATTCTCATTATATATATATATATATATATATATATATACATATATATATATATATCTATTTCTTCTTATATTTGTTTTTGTCTCTCTTTCTTAAATTTTATCTTCCTCACTCTCGCTTGCTACTTTGATTTCGATTTCTTACTGAAAAAACTAAGGATGTACTATGGCAGATTAGTGAAGTTTATGTTTTTACACTCACACACAACCCCTCGAACATACACATATGAAAATGAGCACACATGCATTTCGCTCTGTTGGAGAGAGTTTATAAACCTTCCGCAGTTTCAGATCATTTCTGATTGCAGAATGCAACCTTGTGAAGGAGCCCCAAATCAGATCTTCTGTGAATGACCAGACTTCACTTACAAAAGTGTATTTTATATGTGACCTATATTTACCAGAGGGCTAAAATATTGCTGGTTGAAAGTAGCGACACGCTAGAATTCAGGCCCAGTGCATTAGGTAATGGCCTGCCTCGCAAAAAACTATGTGGTTTTGTAATGTGATCATATAAACTTGTGCTGGAGGACTATATTTGAGGCGTGCTGACAAAATGAGTTACTTACCGCAGTACACAAATGGGGATATTGGATGAAGTTTTCTTCAAGTTAAACATTTCTTTTATCGTTTATTTATACTAATGAATCATAAAAAATTACAACCTGTGAATTTGATATTTCTTTTTCCATGAGGTTAAAATCAGAGTAGTCACTCATAATAATATTGTCAGCTCACCTCACATATGCCTTTATGCATACAACAACTGGGTGTTTTGAGGTTGAAATTAATGTACTGAGAATACGGTGCATCTGAGCTCAACACATTTAATCTTCTCACCATACTTGGTCTTGAGAGTTTTTTTTTACATTTATTTTTCAGACACACGTTCCGATCTGGTGATTGAAGCTGCAGAGGACGGAGCAATGAGTCTGCTAAAGCGTTGGCCAGATATGAAAAATAAGCTGCATATCTGCTTCAATCAGCCTCTGCAAGAACCAATCAGGCAACTTGCCTGGCACCTGTATCTCAATGATCCTAGAGGTGAGTTGACTTGATTCCTGAAAGTGGGTGGTTGGCGGTTGCTCCGGTGTAGTTTGCCTCTTTTTTTCTTATAAAAAAATCTATCACCCATATCTCTCCTTCTCTTTTGTGTTTGTTACTCTCTTGTAATACCTCTAATTTTCATCACTTATATGTGTCACAACACAGTGGAATCAGGCGCTCATCAATTTTTGGACATGTGGAGTTATTGATATAGGATTTTAAAGCTTGTTATCATTTGTCTTGCTTTCAGAAAAAAAAGCTCTTCTATCATGAATAGTAGTCGAGATATTTGCGACTGAAGGAGTGGGGGTCGCCTGATTTTAGATGTAAAATTAGTGAGAAAATGGCCACCAAAGTTTGGCGACCTCCAAAGCTTGAGAGTCCTTAGGAGCTGCATATTTACATTTTGTAACCTACTTGGGGAACCTGAACAAGTGGGCGACAGGGAAAGATCAGGGAAACATAGCTTTTTTAAGAGCATCCGAGGAGAGGAATGAATGGAGAACCATAATCGCCGATGCCTGTCGCAGATCTGGCACTGGATGATGATAATGAAACCAACATTTTTAAATAAAATCCACATAGAAATGTGTTTTTAAATGGACTTAGAGGTGTTGAGTCAAAAAACAAAAATTTGATAAAAATTGACACACGGACAGAAAAATGTCAGTTTCTTTGATTTCTTTATTTTGACGAGTGCTTGATTTCACCACGATGCCTTACATATGACCTAATTGTGTTGCAAGTGCCTTAAAACTTTTACTAAGACAAAAATGAATCCAAGAAATCTGTACCTTGTGTACCTTTAAAAAGTACTAAGAATACAAATAATCTACACTGCTGAGCTCAAAGTCCGAACTTTGTACAGTGGAATCCACTTATAATGAGTCCTGAAATAACGAGAAGTCTGTTAAAAAGATACTATTGTAATACCCCGGTTTTTTTCCGTCTTTATCTTTGTAAATAAAGTACTGCTATTGCGCAATCAGACAAACATGTGAGTCGGTTATAGCGGACTATTGCTGCTGCTGTGCACAGCGCACATGCCATTTATTCATGCGAAACCTCGCCAGTTGTTGTTGATTTTGCGAAACAAAGAATGGGAGAGCCCACGTGTGCCAACAATGAAGGCGGAGCGAAGGAGAGGGAGGATGTGGTATGCACAGACAAGCAGAACGCATCGTGCGATAAGCCAGCGTAGTCTAGATTATCGAGGCCTACCATGCCTCTCACTTCTCCGATGCGGGGATGGAGAGGCCATAGTGGTGTGATGGATGGAACAAATGTATGACATGCGCAAGTGGATGGAACGCACAACTGGGTGTGGTGAGGTGGGGGACAACACAGCGGGCGAGTTAGCCTAGAGAACTTTATTTCTGATCGCTGACGCCGAGCTGTCAACATTGCTAACGCTAGAGAAAGAAACCTTATTCGATTTTTGATCAAGTAAGACCAAGAGATCATGTTGAACCAAATCATCATCAGGGGAGATTACAAAAAGAAACGAACAGAAAACTAAACTCATAGATTTGGCCTACTGTACTATTTCCCTTGAATTTATTACTGGATCCCTCATAACGAGAATTGTGCTATAACGGATGTTTTGCACTGGTCCCCTCCCTCTCGTTATAACAGGCTTCCACTGCATTGGCAGTGAGCTTTGCTCATTATTTTGACAGGGCTACTGATTGGCTCAGCATTTTCCTCGTCACAACAAAGAGCTATATATATATATATCATCAGCTCACCTATATGGCTTTTTAAATTATTTTTGTGAGGCAGCGTGGTGGAATCAGGCTCTCGTCAATTTTTGGGCATGTAGAGTTATTGGTATCATCTTAAAGCTTGTTCACTTGTCTTTATTTGGATGAACAAAATATCCATTTATTGTGAATACAAGTCAAGATATTTGCGAATGAAGGAGGTGGGGGTCACCTGTTTTCAGAGGTAAAATTAATGAGAAAATGGCCGCCAAAGATTAGTTATTTCCTTAGCTTAAGCGTCCGTGGTAACTGAACATTTTCATTTTTTGTGCCTTTAATCAACGTTTTTCAGAAAAATCCTCACAGAAATGAGTTCTTTAGTGGGCATGAAAGGTGTTGAGCTAAAAGACAAAAATGTTATAAAAATACACAAACCTGCGGAAAAATGCTTGTTTCTTCACTTTGATTATTTTGACGACAGCCTGGTTCCACCACGCTGCCTCACATAATATACTCAAACTGTCACAGTCCACACTTTCTGAAATGATATCCTTGTTAGAAAATGTTAATTTTTTCAAATTCCCCTTTCTATTTCCTTTCATTTGATATATATTATGATTTGTAACATTTGCTAAACAAATAAGTATATCAGCAAACAAAACTAAACATACGAGGGCTGTCCCATGGAAAACCGGAATTTGGCTGCAATTTTTAAACTATTCAATATTTTCACATTCTGTAGACGCACACTTGTAAAACAATCATTTAGGAATTTCCCCATTGAGCACCATGAGCATCGCTCAAACCAAACAAACACAGCAGTTTTCCAAAGATGGCTACCCCCTTGGAAAATTGTTCAAGGGTAGAAGTGAAGTCTGTCATTCGGTTTCTGATCGCAAAAGGTCTCAAACCTATGGAAATACACACTGAAATAAAGTCAGTTTACAGGGAGAGAGTAATGGCAGAGTCACAGGTATATGAGTGGTGTAGTAAGTTCAAAGCCCGGCATACGGATGTCAATGACAAAGTTCACCCAGGATTTTGCTTTTTTGCCAAGACTGAGGACAACAAGAGTCGCGTTAATGAACTCATTCAAACAGACAGGCGCCTAAAAATTCGCGAAATTTCCTTTTCGATAAACATTTCAAAGTCGACTGTCCATAGGATAATGTTTGATGAGCCGCGCAATTGAAAGGTCTCTGGTCGATGGGTCCCAAAAGAGCTGACAGCTGCTGACCACAAGACGCAACGCGTTGAAGTGTCTCCAACTTTTTAAAATCGTTGTAGCCAAGCTGTCACGGGAGTCATGAATGCATCTGGAGACCTCCAACAATACGATGAAGCATTCCTGAGAAGCATTATTACAGGTGATGAGACTTGGATACACCACATGGCCCCTGAGACGAAGAGGGATTCAATGGTTTGGAAGCACACGTCTTCACCTCCCCCGAAAAAGTTTAAAGTTCAGCCATTGGTGAAGAAACTCATGCCACGGTTTTCTGGGATGCTAAGGATGTTCTGCTTCTTGGCATTCTGGAACCAGGACAAACTGCTAAGGCTAACAAATACTGCCAGACTCTTGATGAGTTGAGAGAGGTTGTGCGCCGAAAAAGACCAGGCGGTTGTCTAGCGGGGTCATTTTGCAGCATGACAGCACAACGCCACACACCGCAAACGCTACGAAAGACTGGATCCAAGGTCCAAAGGTTCAGCTGGGAAGTTCTGCCAACCCCCCTCCCCCCACCCCTCACAGTCCTGACTTGGCCCCGTCAGAGTATCACCTTTTTGGACCAATGAAACGCCATATTTCTGGACAGCAATTCACCGACGACGAAGACCTTGTGGAAGCCGTGAAAGATTGGTTGAATTCCCTTGACGAAAAATTCTTCCGGTAGGGTATCTTCTCCCTGATCCGGCAATGGGAAAAATGCGTCCAGCGAGATGGTGATTACATTGAGAAATAAAACACATGTTGGGGTATGATGTGTTACATTTTTATTATAATAGGACAAAGATTGTTGCTTTTATGGATCTTTTCCGGTTTTCCGTGGGACAGCCCTCGTATGTACGGTACAGATGCCTGCTGGCACAAAAAATTATGTCTAGGAGGGTAGAAAATTATGTAACGAATGAGTTAAAAGTTGGTAATCAGTCCAAATGTCCCAAAAGAAGAGCTGACTTTGTTAGTTTTTTACGAGGCTGTCATTTTGTATGTACCAACCAAAAGTTTGAAAATTTCGAAAAATAATATATATTTCAGTTTCACGTAGCTTGAGATTCTTTTTGCATACTCACACTATTAGTTTTAGAGACTGAATTGTGGTAATACTGTTGAAAACATGAAACATTTGATATGTATATAGTGCTTCTCTTACTTATTAGTGAATTAGTGTCTTTATAAGTCCTTTTATGTTAGTTGTATTTGGCTGACTGACTCTTTTTTATGTGTGGCAATTTGCTTTTTAGCACGAAAAACATATGTGGATTTGCTGAATGGAAATCCCCGCGCAGCTATTTCTCAACATGACGTGGACATCTCTCAGAAAGTGGAAGGGATGGTTCTGGCAGAGCCTACGTTCAGTGACCTCAAAGGTTCTGTGGGTGAGTATACCTGTGTAGGCAATGTGTGGCTTCCACATATGAAGTTCTGTGGGTGAGTATACCTGTGTAGGCAATGTGTGGCTTCCACATGTGAAGCGTGCTAACAAAAGGAGTCACTTCTCGGATTGAAGCCTTAATTAAGGAAGTAGATACATTACGCATAGGTGAAGTTTTTACAATTTACAAATATGAAACAATAAAAGACCGGTTATTGTTAAAGAATATGACATGAATAGAAAATCCACAAATTTAACCTTAATGTCGACTTTTGGCCAATATCTAAATTTGTGGATCGCGAGAAGTAGCTGATTTTATCAGCACACCTCGTATATACATTAAAACACTTCTCTCACAAGAAATGTACTTTGAAAAATTGTCAGGTACCCTAACAGCATATCTAGTGTTGATACTGTAGGGTTTCATATGGAAAACCCCTCTCTGAAATGAAATGGAGAATCTCTGCGCTGGCCCTGTCCTGTTGGTGTGGCAGAACAATCTGGCCTCCAGGAGATGGTCGACTTTCAGCCTGGGGGTTCGGTTCCAAATATCATTAACTCTTTATCTGCTTGGGGTTTTGAATAGATTTTTTTGGGGTTTTTCCCCTTGATAAAATTCTGATCAATGGTGTCACACAAAAAAGCTATATTCAGATCAAATACGCAGAAATATAGTTGTAGCATACACCAAAATGTCTGGAAATGAATGAACTTTTATAAAATGTGCATTTTATTGGGAAATTTAAATATCTTTTTATGTTACGCGATCATAAACATGCACATAATTTTTTCCTCCCACAAAAGTTGGGGAAACATAAAATCATGACTTCCCATCAGATAGCTTTGCATTCGCATTTTATCGCATCCTTGAATGCAATCATGCAGAGTGCGGCTCTGAGCAGGTAAAGAGTTAAAACACTTAGAGTGCGATTCTGTACTTTACACTTTTCTGAGAACTCCCGGTAGTATGTTCGTCCTGTGCTTTTTGAAATATATCTTCAGAAGTTCTGTCGTATACTCGTGCCCTAGACTTCGGTTTGTGTAGCTTTGTAGTATGTTGTCTATACAATGTATAAAATCGAGCTGGAAAACTGGCTACAGAAAAAAAACGTAAAAATGATTACTAATCCTGCAGGTAAAAAAAAGCAATTTGTCAGGTCACTGGTTTCATTTTCTAAAATGTGACAATAAGATCAAGGGTTCCTGGTACCGTAACCAAGTTCAAATAGGCCTGTGTCAAATCTGTGTTCATAATCAACAAATTGGCTATATGCATACTGCCCGTTTTCGATCCTGACAAGTAAACCGACATGTTTTGACCCTGATATTTTTTATAGAGCAGGTGTATCACTACAAAGCTACAAATTGTATGTATAAAAAAATCACAAAGTGAACCAAGAAACAGTCACCAGCTCAGGGTGCCTTAGTCACCCCAACCGTGTCAATTGGACACCGAAGTGACCAAGGCACCTCCTTGTCAAATCCTGACCATGCACAATATTTTCTTTCAAATACACTCATTTTATGGCTCATTTGACTGTCTAAGAGCTTAATACTCACCATAAAATATTTTAAGTGCAATAGATTAGGAGGTACTTACCAAAGTTTGAAGGAATCTTGGAGAGGTCGATTTCAAATTCAGGCTGCAGCCATCTTGAAAACAAGCCTCCAGTCCTCAAAAAATGGTTCCGTTTTAAAATATTCTAGTAAATATACCACTAATTAATTACACTTTTAGATAATTCATTTCAAAGTTACTAAAAATCACTTATGATATCGTAAAAATAATCTTAAAATTATCAGAACATTTTATCCAGTAACCTGCCTCAGTCGCCCCTGGGGTGCCTGAGTCACAGTATTTGTTTTTTTCACTCTCCTTTACCTCTGAAAGAGCAATCATGATTAGCTTTTTGCAGACTTGTGTGTCCTTGTTGAAACATGTAAAAATGCGTGTTCTAGAAAATAAAATGTTAACAATCACATTCTTTTTACTGAAGTGTACATAGAAAGAGGAAGAGTAAATGATTTATGAAACTTATATAGTTATTTGTGTTTTCTTTTTTTTTCAGGCGCCTTTTACGCAATGAAAGCCACCCTTTCCTACCACCACGCAAAACTAAAAACCAAACAAAGACTTAAAGATGTTGAATTTTTTCTGGTGGTACCTTTTGTTGTGGTCGCTCAGAACAGCCTGTCTAGGTTTGTGTTACACTTTTGACATCTGTTGTTCACTTATTTCCTCTTGACTTCATGTGTCTGTTCATTGAGTTTCTATATATGTGAAGTGTGCTGACAAAATGAGTTACTTCTCGGATTTGAGTCCTATGAAAATAGATACATTATCATGCTTATAGGTTCAGTTTTTACAATTTATAAGTATGAAATAACAAAAGTCATTTAGTACTCAATGACTATAGCATCAATAAAAAACCTAGAAATGTGTCCCTAGTGTCGATTTCTGGCCAATATCAGCTTTTGTGGATTGTGAGAAGTAACTCATTTTGTCAGCGCGCCTCACATATATCAATTACAACTCCAAGAATAGCTAACTGTAGAAAACGGCAGCTAATTATAGATGGCACCGCCCTTCATTAACCCTATCCGTACGCCCTGGGGTCTTTTTGTACCCCCGGGGTTGTATTTTTCGCATTTTAGAATACTTCTAGTACTCTCTTTGAAACTTTCAGTATTTTTCCAAAAATCATTTTGACAGATTGCTATGCAAAGTGTACGGATCGGATTAACGAGTAAATTTTCTTTTGGAAAGTGGTGGCACAGAGTTCCCCACGTCGTATGGATATGATAGTAGAACACCATTTTCAGATAGGATTACATGTATGCAAGCAATGTCTGTACATTCTTCCCAGGGACTTGGTGACAAAACTTGTCCTGTGCTGCTTGCCAGGCCATCTAGCATAAGGCTTTTGTCAGAATGAGCATAGATGTGTGTTGCTCTTATAGAGTATGTATCTGTATATAACTCCAAAGGTCTAGTATTTAAATTCCTGCATGTGGTTGAATGATGCATTTGATGTAAATGTACATTTTGTCAGCTTTACTTCTCCTTTCACATTGAATTTTAATGAGAGTAATATATATGATTAAATTTTTTAAAATGTATACCTGCATGTGTTTTTATGGTCCTGTACAGCCAAGGAAAATTTCCCTCTGGGATAATAAAGTACTATCTTATCTTATCTTATCTTAGTTTTCACAGAGCCTGATATTTCAGTACACGTTTGATAGTTTCCACTCTTACTTATATGTTGTTTTTGTTGTTGTTGTTGTTGTTGCTGTGGTTGTTGTTGTTATCGTTCCAGCAACAGCTGGGGTCTCGCCCTTCTGTCCAATGCCATGTAGTGATAAGTGCAGGTTTGCTGCAGTTACTGTAATGTTCCATAGAGTGTGTTGTCAATGTTAGGTCTCAAAGGGAGAAGTGTCGTTCTGATGTCATTTTGGGCTGTGCAATGAAACAGGTGATGATCCACAGTCTCACTCTTACTTAGAGCCTATAAATTTATGGATGTTGTTTGTATAGGCTTTGAGTAATACCTCAAATAGTGCTCAACTAGATGGGTGAAAACTCTGTAGGAGAGACAAACGTTCCGATGGAGACTTGTATATAATTATGCTGAGGTATTTGTCTCTGTGAACTGACCTATCTTGGATACAAAGGGAAGGTGCACTGAAAAAGGTTCTATCTGTTACAGGAGAAAAAGGTTTTCATCAGAATGTTTTATTTTTCAAGGAGTTGTGTGTTGCGGGTGTGCAATCCCTGGTACAAAATAAATATTAAATGATAAGTTTCAAAATGCCCTTGATAAAAAGTGTATGTGGGATTTATCTCTAAATTGTCAGCAAACTATTTACTTGTTTTCAGGAGAGCGAAAATCTGCTTTATTTTTTTAAACAATTGTACTGACATTTTTTGTGCATTTTTCAACTTTTAGAATTTGAATTTCAACAAAATATTTCTTGAGCTCATGCAACCAGTATCTCAGAAAAAGAAACAGTAGGGTTTTTTTTCCGCATTCAATACTTTTGGCATAGTAAATCTGAATATCTGGTATTTTTTTTTTAGCACATGCAACGAATACCATGGATAAAGAAATGATAATTTTTATAGAAATTCAAAACTTTGGGCCAAGTTCATCAGAAGAGCTGGCGGAGTTCTTGTTTTTCAAATGGTGTTCTGGGTCTCTTTTGCAGGAGAGAACCAGCGTCGGGGAAAGTTGTTGCACTTTTGGTGGAAGAATACCTGACCTATTTAACGACCCGTCCTGGCTTTGTCATTGATTCTGGATCTGAGGTATGAGGGATTTGATGTCTTGTCCATGTGTGTGTGCTCTACTGCCTTCTTGGTGTGTAGGGTCTGATGTGTTGTCAATGTAATGTATATTGTATTGCTTGTTGTGTGGAGTCTGGTGTGTTGTCAATGTAATGTATATTGTATTGCTTGTTGTGTGGAGTCTGGTGTGTTGTTAGTGTGTGTCTATTGTTAGGCCCTTTGGATGGGGCGAATGGGAGAGGGAGGAGGAAGGATGGAGGAGGGGTGAAGGGGGATGGGAGAGGGAGGAGGAAGGATGGAGGAGGGGTGAAGGGGGATGGGAGGAGGAATTGGAGCTTAGTAGATTGGATAATATTGAATAGAAATTTAGTTGTTTGTTGCTGACTTTTTTTTGCTCTCTCACTCTTATTCCAACCAAAAAGCAAAATCATATTCTTACCTACTCATTCAAATATCGTTTCACTTACTCAAACACATGTGCATACACAAACACACAACCCCCCACCCCCACACACCCCCTCTGCACACTCATGTCATCAATACATTCACCTGTAAACCTCATGCACACAAACACGCACATAATAATAATAATAATAATAATAATAATAATAATAATAATAATAATGATAATAATAATAATAAATAAATTACACTTTTATTTGTCCCAGAAGGGCACTTTGTTTTACAATGGCAAACATACACACATAAATACATAATTATCAATACGTACATACATAAATACATACATGCATAAATACATACATAAATACACACTATTACACAAATACAGAACAGTTTACAAACAATGCCACTGTCGGTCGCCACTGTGCAGCGCCCTGTAATTTGAGCTAGGGTTGTCGTGTCTTGCTCAAGGACACACTCCAGTGACCACCCATCTGATCCCTGTGTCACCGACACTTGCTTGACATTACTTGAGTCAAAACTCACTACTCACTTAGCCTCTGGAGCCCCCAATACAACCCCCCCCCCCATATACTCACACCATCTATAAATTGACCTGTTAACTTCCCTGTCTCTCTCTATTTCCATACTCTCTGGTCAGACCCACAATGAGGAGATGCAAGGTTTCATCAGCAAAGTTGCCTCAATCCTGGAGAAGCACTATTCCCAAACTGCTGCTCTGGTCTCCAAAGTCTTCACACCATCCAGAGGTAAATATTTTTTTCACCGTCTTCCTTTTCTTTATCAACATTTCTTCATCTGCTCCCCCTCATCATCATCATCATCATCATCATATCAGTCATCGACATCGTCATCCTCACAATCATGGTGCTCTGTTCTGTCTGTCTGTCTGTCTGTCTGTCTGTCTGTCTGTCCGTCCGTCCGTCCGTCCGTCCGTCCGTCCGTCCGTCCGTCCGTCTGTCTGTCTGTCTGTCTGTCTGTCCGTCGTCCGTCCGTCTGTCTGTCCGTCCGTCCGTCCGTCCATCTGTCTGTGTCGTGTGTCTGTCAGTCTGCACGGTATGCTTTCATGGAAATTGAGATTGTTTCAGAATGCTCTCAGAAATGAGGCTCTGAGACATATTTGAGGTGGTCAGTAAGAGAAAAGAATACTTTTATTGTCCTGATTGGGAGACATGCTTTGAGGTCTCTTACTCATAATAATCATATCTACGGGCGGTTGGAGGGTACCACTAGTAGGTCCTACTTCTTTACTTTCCGTCTGTTGATTCTGTGTGTATGTCTGTCTTACTTTTTCCCAGCGCAAAATTATTTTTATTGTTCCGTTCTTCTTCTCTTTTCTCGAACAAAACAAACGAAATTATTATGTTTATTCATGGTTTTGAAACAGAAAACGTCATTTTGCTACAAAGTAATAACTTTGTGTTCAACGTTTATGAAAGAGAGTTCAAAGTCCTGAATGTGGGTGGTTGGCGGGTGCTCTGGTGTGGTTTGCTTCTTCTTTCCTATCAAACATCTATCGTACTTATCTCCCCTTCTTCTTTTTTATGTTTGTTACTCTCTTGAAACACCTCTAATCTTCTCTGGCACTCTTTTGACCTTACGCAGTTGCGAGCGCCATAATACCTCTACTAAAACAAACAAAAGTCCTGAATGCTGAAAATACGAACGCAGTTTGACCTAATTTTCTTTCTTTTTTTTCTTTTTCTTTTCTTTTTTTTTCTTTAAAGAGAAAATTGTGGCAACAGAGAAAGGTTCACGGGCTGTGCTGGTGGATGGCTTGATGGAGCTGGTTCGTCCATTGGCAAGGACCATGCTGGTTGGTGAGTATTTTTAGCTTTAACACTTTCCACCCACGGGGCACGCAGAGGGCACAGCACTTGTCCCCCCGGACCAGGATACAGATGGGCTACATCAGAACTATACCTGTATCTCCGCAAAAATACTCCATCCATTATGAAATTTTCAGCATACTGAGAAAGTTGACTGTGATGATCGCATGTTCACCAAAAAAGAAATGAAAAAATCAGAACTGGAAACATTAAATCTAGCTCATTCATCACCAGAATGCTCATTATTCCATAAAAAGAACTAGTTTTTTTGTCTCTGGTCTAAAGTATTTTTAAAACCCTGTGAAGGGTTCTGAGATGGTATAGAGAAGAAAGAAAGCGAAGGATCAAACACAATTTTGGATCTTGGATCGTCATGAATAACACACCGGATACCATAAATATATCACGGATTGGCATGAGAAGTGTGAATACGCAATTTCCAATGTTCTGTAACGTACAATGTTGATTGAATATGTACAATTGGATGTGAGCGCCAGAAGATTAGAGGTGTTACAAGAGAGTAACAAACATAACAAAGAAGAAGGGGAAATAAGGACGGTAGGTGTTTGATAGGAAAGAAGAAGCAAACCACACCAGAGCACCCGCCAACCACCCACATACTGCTGAATGATGAAAGTTTTGTTGTAAAAATGTTGTGCAGGATACTTGAACTTTGAGACTCTGCTGTATGTGTGGGACCAGTATATCATTGGCCTCGACGTGCCTGCCTTCAGTGCTGAGTGGCTCTCCGTCGTCGTAGCAACCATGCTAGGTTTAGAGCATGAGAAGCTAAAGGACTGTCAGACTGTGAGTAGTGTGCTAAGCAAGTTTTAAAATGCATTTCTTTTGATCTTGGATTATTGTGCCCCCTCCCCTCCCTCGCCTCTCCTCCCCTGCCT